GAAGTGTTTGCACCGGAAAAGCTGATCAAACATTTTCCTTGAGTAATGCTTTCAAGGAGCGGTTGCTCATAGACGACTAAAATGACTTGTAAAAGAATAAATTGAAATGCAGAAGACTAAAGTGTAAGCTATTCCCTCTGATCTTAATTCAGTGTGCTCATGCTCCAGCTGTGCATCAGCTGGAGCACTGTCTGTTCTTCCTGTTTCTCCCATCAAACTCTCACATCTCTGGGAGAGAATCAGAATTTCTACTTTGCGTGAGAAGGCAGAATAATTTCTTCAGTTACTACCTGAGGAAATTACAAATCACACCCATGGCCGTGCTGTTTTCACCTGCTTAAGGATTTAGGAAAAAAAAAAAAAAAACACCACAAACAAAACCAGCAAAAAGCCCCTCAAGCCAGTTACATCTGCTGTTCGCAGAAAAATCCATGAAGCAATATTGCATCTCAGCTCTTTCCTAGCTCCTGCAGTCTCTCCTAGCTGCTTTCTAAAAGTCCTGCTAGTGCAAAAATAACCAAAATAGTCTTAAGACTTACAGTAGCTTGTATCATTGACATAATCCACAAGCTTAGATGAGTTGTATTTGTTAATATGTTGAGCTGGAGGCAGAGTCCACTCTCAGAGATGATGTTGATCAGTGTAAGGTGCCACTTTCCAACCGGCAGCTTTTCTGAATAGTTTGTGTGTCACTGGCAGCCTGTTTCCCTGCCTTCATAGACAAATGTCAGATAAAAATATTACTAGTGACATTACTAGGCATGAAAGGCACTGAGAGAAATCTTTTCTATCTACTTCTCTGGCTTATTGAACTTTTTTTTCAAACAAGGGCCTGGGGGCAGAAACTGTGGAATTGGTTGCATATTTAGAATTATTCCTGTGTATTTTTAAGAGCAATGTATTTTTTTTTCCATTTCATTTATAACTCTCCTTGATATTAAACTAAAGTTAGAGTTCTTGATATAACCACATCTTTCCAACCCAAAGTAAGAAAAGCCATATATTTTTTTTCTCTAAAATCTTGAAGCGTATGATGACCCTTCTGCATTTTTCACGTGATGCCTGAAAGTAACCTGCAAGTAAGTTCTTGAGAGGCTCTGCTTGTCTAAACCATGGAGGAACTTCTCATTTCAACTAAAAAGGCAGCTGTGTCATGTAGGTGCAAAAATAGTTTAGCCTACAATATTAGTGCTGTATTAAAGAGGAATTAAGCTGCAAAATACCTATTAGGAGTTTAAGATTAATAGAATATAACCCCTACCTTTTGGAGCTATTTTAGTTACACTGCAGTGTAATCATATCCATATAGTTATGATTAAATGTTTCAAGTGTTTGATCTGATTTTTACTTACTTGGATTTCCCTGCCTTTCTGTGTTGTAAGAATTCTGCATTGAGCATATTTTCCTAGTACTCATTGTTCATTTATCTTAATTTCTAAAGTAAACAGGATTTTTGTTAGATTTTTAGACAAGTCATCATGCACTCAAAATGTGATCATTCAGGAAGAACGCACTGTGTTTTTTCACATGAGATAAAATGTACATTTTACTTTAAGTGAGAATCTAAGCATTCAGTTGACAAATGAATTAAAGCCAGTGATTAAAAAATATAGTCTGTTATTCCTGAGCATGTTTAGTGTGAGACCAATGCACCAATAAAGTCCTTGCCTGGAATTGCAGCAGAGATGAAGCTACTAGCCAAAGCTTAGAACCCCAAAATACAGGTTAATACTGATGCAAAGCACTATGAGATGCCTTCGCTACAGAACAAGTGTTCACCTAAAGTCTCTAGGTCTTGGAGGCTTCTTCGCTGGATTCTTTCCTTCATTCCTTTCTCCCATCCTTCATGGGACCTTTCTTTACGTGGCTGTAAAGTTTTATTTAAAAAGGAAACGAAAACATCAATCGTGAGGTCAGATTAGGTAGCAGTACACCAATAAGTATCGTTATCTAGCTGCTCTGTGACTGTGCGTTTCAGGCTGTAGTTATATTTTATGTCAGGTTTTCAGGATCTGTGCACCTTAGAGCTAGGTCACACTTGCAACTTAGAGCCCGTTTTGACAACCGGCTATCTAAATGCCATCTCCTGTTGCCAGCACCTTTCAGCCCACCTGAAGTTCAGTGAGGGAGTAGGTCTAATAGGCCCTTTTTGCCCTGTATGTTCACTGACATGGTGAATAGGGAAGTGTTGCACTGTGGATCTTCACAGAAGGGCTAGGCAAATCCAGCCAGTATTGTTTAGATTAGCTGCTCAGTGAACTCCTTGTGTTGGCACATATGAGATAGGAAACATGAGGGCAGTTCGAAAAGGAAAAGGATCTTCCCTTACAGCAGTAAGCTGTGCTGATGATAGCACCAATTAGGTGACCAATTATCTGGATAAACATTCCTGCCATCAACAGTACCCTAAAAAGAAAGAGATGCCCTACTGTAATGTGTACCTTTATAATGATTTTTATATTTAAATATACTTAATTGCACAGGTATTCTGGAGTCTACTGTAACATATACTTTTTTTATTAGTTGTCTGTAGTAACTGATGATTTCAAATCAGGACTAGAAGTGTCATCCTTCTTGACAACATGAATGTGATCCAGAATCTTATATAGTAGTAGTTCTTGAGAAAAGCAGTGACTGGATCAGACTAAAGTGTTCAATATATTGATGTTATAAGAGCAAGAATCTGCTTTTTATGTATCGCTATAAGATACTCTTTCTTCAGAATCTGTACAGGACTAATTCATTTTGTCAAAGTACACAGTCTGTAGAAAGAGTCTAGTTTGAAAACTTACGGCTTTTGTCTGTCAGAGCAATACTTGGGATTTTGTGCGTTAATTGAAAGCTGTTCTTCCTAAATTAACTGGTCAATGATTGCATAGCACTAACTGTTTTTTGTCTCGTTTTTCTTGTGTTTGAGATGATGGTTATGTGAAGACTTGATTTTCTTATGTGTAATTAACTGTTAGAGAAAAATCAGTGTTCACAGGTGGATCTTTCTCTAGATGGTCATCATTTTAAATGTGTTTTCAGAGTACCAGGTTTTTGCAATTTACTGAGTCTTCTAGCCTGAGACCTAAGTTCTTTCAGATAACCGTCACCTCTTCTTGCATGCATGTCACAGAATGATTCCCTGAAAGCTTTCTGTTGATATAAATTGCCGGGGTTATCCCACTCCCTTACAGCATATGGAGCCCTGCTGGTGTACTGAATAATGATTTAGGAGCTGGGTGGAAGACTTGTTCCTCTTCTATCCCTGGTCTTGAGAAAAGGATGTTCCTAGTTGCCGTAGGGAGAATGAGTACCTTCTTCTCCCTTGTTCTCATTTTGAAAACAATGGCTCATTTTTACGTCTATAAATTCTGTGGAGTGCTGCTGCAGATTCTGCTATTTGGTGATGACTCTGAAGATGACTACTCAGGTCTCATGCACAGAGCCAAGGACTCAGCCAGTTGGTTCTCAGGTTGTGCTTTGCTGTCTCTCAGCTGTGGGTGTTTGCAGCATAAGTTCTCTCCAGCTCATTCATAGAATCATAGAATCATAGAATGGTCATTTAGGGTTCGACCTGCGGCTGGTTGCATACTTGTGCGATCAGCTGAATAGACATAGCCATGTCTGGCAGAAGACCTAGGAAGGCAGAAAGGTCAAAGCTCTGTGCTGTAACTGAGGACGTGCCCACAAGCAGAGCTCTTTTGACATTTGACTCTGTGTACGCACTGTGTGACGCAAAGTGTAAGGATAGCACAGAACTGAGGTCTGGTAAATGTGTTTACCAAAAATCAGATTGTTTCACAACAGGCAGCATTCCAACAGTATATTAGCACGATTTCTTTGGAAGGCCTTTGATTGAAGGCTTGATTTCTCTTTAACAACCACTGATGGCTGCTATTACAGCAACAGATCAATGCAAAGGACTCCAAGTACTTTTTTAAAGGAGAAAAACTGTCTGAAGATTGTGTATATGGCCACATGTGCAGCTGGCTATATAGATGACTACATAGATTTAGGTCTAGAGAAAATCCAGTTGGCTGGATTCCAGCTTATGAATGACTTCATTTTTTTTTTTTTTCCACATGGCTCCCACAGAGCTTCATCGTGGCACAATAATCTTTTTCCTTACAGATAACCCCCATCATTCACTTGAGACAGCCCTGTGATGCCTGGGAGGGAGAGGAGAGGCTTGTCTCAGTGCTGCTTGAATTGGCTGATCCCCTACCTTGGATTTGCCACTTATTTGGGTCATTTCTCAAAGTAATAGTCAATATAAAAGATACAAATTACCCTTATGTAGTATATCTGAAAGCAAACAAACTTATGGGAAGGACTTTGTAACTGGTTTAAAATACTCAGTTGAATATAGAAAAAATATTTGTCTGTATAAGTTCTAAGTAGAGAGCCATTATTTTTGAAAAATCTTGTTTCATGATAACACAGTAAAAGAAGTGTAGTTTCATGTCAAAGACTTTGATGCATTTTCTCTGATCAATTGAGCAAAGTCCCTAAGTATTCTAGCCAGATTTTTCCTCAAAAAAGTAAGTACATTTTGTGTTGAGATGCCAAAAGTGATGCTTCTTGAAATATTTAAATGGCCTAAAAGTGTAAATCGTGTTTACATGAACAACTTGAAATTTAGGAACCTAAATGGTGTAGTCAGCGTGAGATTTCCCTCCCCTGCTGTGGTGAGACAATGGGGAAGAGGGAGAGCTGTTCAGTCTTCACACCCCTTTAATCCTCTGCTGAAAGTGAATGAAATCATGACTCTCTTCTGCTGGGAAATAGACAGCCCACAAGCTCATTCCATTTCATGTAAATCACCAAATTATTATATAGTAACAACTTTTTGTCTCTCTGATGGGAATTTGCTTTCAGACAATGTCTTAGCACTGCAAAGTATCGTGTCCCCTTACTAGTATTTTATTTTCCCCTTAATCAGATGCAAATTTGATGTAGAAAAGTGCAGTCAGCAACAAACATGCTTTCTTTTCTTTTTCAACTTCTTGTAGGAGTTCTTCATGTTTTCTGCAGAGTTGGGAGAAAAATGTGAAGCAATAAGTGAGAAATTGGTGCATCTGGAAGATCAACTGCAGACTTCCGCCTGCAGAGTTGATGAAGGAGTTATTCATATCCTTTTTGGTATAGCTATAGATATGTATTAATCCATGTAAGTATGTATGTGAAATACTTGCCTTTCAGATTCACATGGAGTACTAGTTCTTAAAGTAGATTAAATACATTAAGAAGGGGAGAATTGATTGTCTTGCTGAAGTGGGTGGTTTTGTTGTCCTACAGTGCATTTTCACTGTGATCTGATCCAGCTTTAATTGATTTAAACAGAAGTTAGTCCTTTGTAAATTGAGATTAAGCATTGAAACGCCTTTATTCTACTGTTACAGTCCTTTTGTTTGTAATGCTCATACAGTAAATACCTAGTGCACCAAAAGCTGCATGGATACAAGTATCCATGCATCTGCATTACCCAACATGATTTAGGTAAATTAATTGCTACATCATTGACTTAGACTGTGTGTTGTCACATGTAGTTTGTCTTTTTCTCTTTAAAAAAAAATGGACAGCAGATGCATCGTGTGGCATCCTCTGCAATTTAATCTGCCTCTGACACTCCAGTGCAAGTAACCAGATGAGATGATGTCTTATAAAGCACCCTTATCTCTTTCTGTGCTTCATTTGTCATTCAGTATCTGATTGAAGGTTGCTTAACCTTTATGAGGCATTTGTTAGGCCTACATCTGTGAACATTTTTCAAAGTTTAAGAGCACATAGTATTGTTTCATTTGTAACTTTCAAAGAAAAAAATCACAAAAGATTTTATTCTTCTAAGAAAGGGCAAAGAGAATAAGAACCAATGAGGCTGAGGAAGGTGAGAGTACTGGTTAGTAGTAGTAGTTAGTTAGGTTTTAGTGGAGAAGAGGTGGTAGGCAACAGGATAAGGAAGAAAGATTAATAAACTCAGGTTAGAGAGATTAGCAGAGAAGCCCTTATAGACACCTGAAAGTGAGTTGAGATGATGACAGTGCGAGGAAGGATTCAGTTCCTCCTAAGCTGAGGCAGGCAGTCCTGTGGGAGAGAGTTTAGAGAAAGGATAATAAATAGTGTGGAAATACCTCTGTGTTTTAGGTAATTGGGCACCTATTGCCAGCTCATTGCAAAACTCCTATTCTAGAAACTTGGTTTCTTTAAAGGTATCAGAATGATAAACTTTAAGGGGAGGTAGGGAGAAGGTACTCGGGAAGGTTGCATCGGAGGGGGAAATCTTGTCAATACTTGTTAATACTTCAAATCTTTATTTTCTAAGTGTTTCAATATACAGAAAGATTATTTTCCTGTATTTACCACAGGCCAGCTTGCAACATTCTTTTAATCATATTTACAATGTGCGTGCTTGGTTGCAGTTGTGTTTCCCGGATGTTGTTTGTGTTTTTTTCAGAGCCATATGGATGTGTGTCTTGTGTATGCACAGAGCATCTACTTCCTTCCTCTTACGTATAGTTGTTCTCCAAATTAGCTTTTCTCGTTGACTCCAAGAACACCAAGGGCTGGAGTTACGGGTTCATTGCAGTGGGCTTAAGTTCATATTCAAACCAAGCAGTCAGGTCTGATCATAGTTACAGTTTACTAGGTAAAGTGAAATAAGCTGAAAAAATGCCTTTTTGGTTCCTGAAGAAAATATGCTACCAGTATGTTAAATAGTGGTATTTGTATTTTCTATGGAGCGTGCGTATTTCTTTGTAGCTGTTAAAACTGTGAGAGTTAGTTTAAAAAATAAAAATCTAATTATTGAAATTTTGAGAAGAGTTGTAGATTAGTCTCATTCAAAGCCACAGTTGTGTGGTATGGATCTGGTTTCCTCAGTGAAATTCAGCTCACGTTATCTGAATTCATAAATGCACCCTGTGTGATATCCTGGTCCTCCTAGCAAGACCATCAGTCACAAAATAAGAAACCATGTTTAAAACATAGGGACAGACAGAGAAGCAGTTCAGCAATTCAGCTACCCCTCATTAACATTCAGTTTCTATTTCAGAGGTAGTCCAGATCAATGTGCATAAAATGTTACCATCTGGTACATGTAATCACTGTGCTATACTTCAAAAAGGAATGAGAAAAATAGCTACCACAGTGCTACAGACCTGTAGATTTATTTTTTTTCTTTTAAATAAAAACCACTCAGTGCATATAAAATAAACTTTCACTCATTGGTAACTTGCCTGTATTGCAGGAACTAGCACTGAGATTGGTGCCAATAATTAGGCTCAGTAGAAAAATTTGTGGTTAATAGATGGATCTATTGTTTGCATAGTAGTTAGTTTGGTTTTAAATTAAAAAAAAAAAAATCTCAAATATTAGACAATTAAAAATCTGTAGAACTCTGAAAGCAGGATAAATTTTTCCAACTCTTGTTCTCTGTTTTTTTTCACCCTTCCCCTCATCCCCCCCAAAAAAAGCTTTAAACGTAACGTTACAAACTGTATTAGGTCAAAAATCTGACTGGGGGCTGCACAAATGTAAATTAGTCCTGTCGTCTGATTATTAAAAGACTTTTAAGGACTCCATGGAGAAAAATAAATTCCTGATGCTCTCAAGCCATTTGCCAATGTTTAGTGTGTGTCATAGCTTTGATTAATAATTAAGTTTGTATTAGAAGAAAAATCCCAGATGTCATTGTTTTTCATTCTATGTTTTGATGGCATAGAACACTTAAATCAACCGTGCTGCTTGTCGTAATTGCCAGCACGAACTGAACAAAGGAGAAATCCAGTGATATTTCTTGGTCTTGAGTATATGCACAGACCTACTTGGGATTCTCATTCATTATTGAAGCCTTTCACAGCAAATATAAAAACTGTACTTTTGTATAAAAAGCATCAAACAATAGCAATGGGGGGGGGGAGGGGGGGAGCTCCTCTCTAGCACTATGACAGATTTGCTAAATTCTATGTAGAATAACCAAACAAACCCACAAAACATTCAATTACGGTTAATCATTGGCAAGTGTATGAAAACAGTCCATATCATTAATTGGAGAAACTAAAGGACGAGGGGTGACTCATTCTGATGTCTACAGAGCTGATGAGAGGTGTTACTTTCCTGACAGTAAAGGCCTGGAATTCCCAGTAAAATTAAATGGAACCTATATTGCAATTTCACAGTCATTTTTGTTCTTAATTAGCAGTTATGTTTTGACAGACAATTTGAATGCGTGTAATGGTTCCTCCTGGTGAAAATGCTTTTGTTGGAAGAAAACCTGCCTGGACTGTAATTATAAAAGCAGTCTCCGTTCCTTGCCCTAATATGAGCATTTTAAACAGTTATTTTGAAAATAGAATTGTGTACCTCAACGTTCATTAGGCATTGCAGGTCATTTGGCTAACCCGTCACCGTTATCACACGGCAGGCTCTTGTACAAGTCGCGCTTTACTCCAGTGTAGGTTTTTGACAGAATCAGGAGTGTAGAGTTTAGCCCCGAGTGTACCTCACTGAAGAATCTCACCCTGAGTGAACCTGTAAGAAATTTTGAAATCCCAAAATTTGGATGACAGGAGGGCTGGCTGCTCCCAGTGTGTGTCACTTTGAGAGAGCGTGGTTCTGCCTTTCTTGTTCATGCTGTGATGGAGGTAGGTCAGTGCATTTCCATCTCTGTGCTGCAGCTTGTCTTCTGTTTTGTGCTGGAACCAGTGTTTTGGAAACAGATCTGATGTCCAGATTGCTGAAGTGATCCATTTTTCAAAATGTTGCAGTTGTTCTGTTGGGTTATTTTTATTGGGGGGTATTTTCGGGGGAGGGTTGGGGGGGGGTAGTATTTTGGTTTTTGCATGGGAGTGGGGTGTTACGTTAGTTTGTAGAAACACATTTGTAGCTGTGAAGGAGACAGACAGGAATGGAGGGGGAAAATGGAAAAATCTTAATCAGGTTTCACTACCACAAGCACTCCTGTGTTTTTGTTAAGGAGAAGAAAGCGATAAACTTCCAACGGCCATTTTGCTCCCTTGCTGTGAGAACACACAGGCCTCATATAGGAGCAGTAGGGACTTGCTCAGTGTCTTTTTCAGACTCCCTGGAGCACACTTCTAAAAGGCCAAAACCCAGGTCATTCCAAATAAACATTTGATTATATTGGCTCTTCGCTGATCCTTTGGCATGTAACACACACAATCGCAGAATCGTTTAGTAGGAAGTGCCTTCTTGAGATCATCTGCTCAACTCAAGAAGTGCCTTCTTGAGATCATCACCCAACTGTCTGCTCAAGCAGGGTCACCTAAACCAGGTTGCTCAGGACCATGTCCAGTCAGGTTTTGAGTATCTCCAAGGATGGAGACTCCACAACCTCTCCGCACAACATGTTCCAGTGTTTGACCGTCCTCACAGTAAAAAAAATGAATTCTTTTCTTGTATTCAGATTCAGTTTTCTCTTTTGGAATTTTTGCCACTTGCTTCTTGTTCTGTCAGTGGATACTAGTGCAGAGTCTGTCTCTCTCTTCTTCATTCTCACCCTTCAGGTATTTATACACATTGCTAAGATCCCCCTGAGCCTTCTCTTGTCAAGGTTGAACAGTCCCAACTCTCTCAGCTCTCCTCATATGGCAGATCCTCCAGTCCATTAAACCAGCCCTGTGCTGGACTCGCTCCAGGAAGTCCGTATCTTTCTTGTACTGTGGAGCCCAGAACTGGACTTTGCACTCCAGATGAGACCTCACTAGGGCTGAGTAGAGCAGAAGGATCAGCTCCTTCCACCTGCTCTCAATGCTTTTTATAATCCAGCTCAGGAGGCTCTTGGCCACCTTTGCCACAAGATGCGTTGCTGGCTCATGTTAACTTACTGTCCATCGTGACCTCAAGGTCCTTCTCTGCAGAGCTGCTTTCCAGCTGGTTGCCCCCACTGTGTGTACTGGCACTTGAGGTTAGGAGAAACATGTCTGATTATGTAGTGGGACCTCTAACCAAGCTTTTGTCTCCAGCTGTTTTAATGTTCAGCTGTTAGAAACAAGCAGAATAGTTAACGGGGTAAAAGAACACCACTACTGTAATTCTGTTTATTTCTGTTCTTCAAGTCTTAATTTCCTCTTCAGCTGTCTAAAATTGCTGTTATTCTCCAAAATCCTGTAGGCCCTTACGTGAGCCCTGTGGTAGTCGTTGACTGTCGTTCCAAGGCCTTTTGTCTTACAATATACTCTTAGTTTCTAACCTTTCCAATAGAAAGGCAATTGGTTTGTAATCTTTACCTTTTGTCTCTTTTCCCTCACCATCTGTGCTAGGAGAACAGAAGATACAGCGATGAGCCCATTTTTTCCCAAAAAATTAAATAACTCTACAGTAATTAGCTAAATCTGTTTTTTATCTCCTTATAAATCATGGACTCTGTCATGATGTTCAAGTTTTTTAAAGAGAAAGAGGAAGTCAAATAAGTGAAAAGCTTCGACTGAGACAGTGTTATTGTTGCAGAATATGGATTGTGTTTGTGTGAAGCTGTTCCCAAGGACTTTAATGTACTGCTAGGAGACATTGGAGACATTTTGCCAGTTTTTGACAGAAAGGCAGCAGGACCAGAAAATGTCCCTAGTTGAAACTTTTGACTCCTGCCTTTGATACTGGCTCAATATTTGCAGCATTGGATAGAGAATTTAAGCATGAAGGACACGTTTGCCTGTGGACCCATGCAAAACTAAGTATCTTGCATTTTTAAAATGGTTGAAGCTGTTTATCCAGACATAACCTCTGTATATGGATAGATTCTATGCTCAGCCCTATGCCATGTATTTTGCCTACCCATAAAGGCTCGTTTGACAGTTACTAGTCTACAGCTGGTTGTGGTGTCATTGAGCTTATTGCAACTTGCTGTAGGTAGACTATGCAGCCATCTTTCTTGTTGCTTCATCTTCTTGTTGGTTAAAAGTTTCTCACCTTATCCCCTTCATTTTCATCCATCTTTCAAGATTTCTGATCCACTGGCAGTGAAGCATTTCAATTTAGTTTTTCTCTCCACCTGAAAAGAATTTTGTAATCGCTTGGGATATTACAAATAACAGCATGTAGTCAGAGACTGTGTGTCAGAAGTAATTAAATTTCAGAAGCTTCATGGTGTTCATAAACTGAAGAATTTATCTTTTACCAGTTAGATTTGCAGCAGAGCATTATGATTAAATTGCAGAGTGGTGGACAGTCCAGGGCTGCTTATAAGAGGACAATAATATTTTCTTACTTCAGAGAAGATGCAAAGCATAATTAATTTGTCCTTGTACTGTACTTTAAGATCCTAGGATAGGAGAAGTTTAGTGTGTACTGCTATTACTTGTAATCAGAGACAGAATCCCTTTAGATTAATAGAGCTGTCCAGAAATTAGAAGTATGCATGAATAATCCTGGTGAATGTATTAAGAGTAAGGCATCATAGTAAATGTATGTAAATACATGAAGATGAAATTTTGAGGAACTGGTAACAATCAAAAGCAGCTAAAAGGCTTTCCAAAGGCAGAACTTTGCCTGAAATAGCAGTGATGTGTATAGCTTTCCCATGGTCCTCTCTAGTCACAATTTTTCAAAAGTAGCAGCTCACTTTTTACAGTCACATAACCTGAGGGTGTCTTTTTTTCTTGACATTGCATTGATATCGGGGTCTAGTAAAACAAGATTTCATAATGGATGAGCTCTGTAAAGGATAAAGCCTGTCCTTGTGCATTATCCTTCCTGTGCAGTGTATTTTTGAAATTGTGTTGGTTCATTGTCGGCCTGTTTCGTTTCCCTTGAAGTGAGTTTCTGGCACTCTCAGAGATCATTTGATGGCTTACTGCTAGAAATGAACTTACTTCTCTCTCCCTTGGCCTGTTTGAGTTTGCCTCTTGGGGTCCTTGCCCTTCAGCCATAACTGTGCAGGAGGCCTCAGCGTGAATGAGGTGAGCCCTAGGGCTTGTTCACATAGACTTGGTTGTTGGTCTAGAGCTTCAGCAGGCTTTGACTTGTCTCACCCTTGCTTTGCTCTCCGTGTAGCATAACCTGTGGAAGAGAAGATAAAGTTGATTGCCTTATTGAGCTACACCCAGTCCTTGCACTTGATTCAGCACTGGATAGTCTCACTGATGTAAGAGTACGTTTATCAGCAGAAAGGCCCATGGATTGATAATACAAACTGTGCTTCTTCCCAGGAGAGACTAGTCATCAGAACAAAAAGCCCCTCTGCCTAGGAAGCCCAGCTACTGAAAACTTGCATGTGTCTCAGCAGTTGCCACTCTCTCCACGCATGTCCTGCCTTCCCCTGCCAGTCTGCTCACTGCTGCACCCCTCGTATTCTTGTTGGCACCACCTGACACCTTCCCACTGTCATTTTGGAGCTGGGAAAGAGGGAAGTGGAAGGTCTTTTGCCAGGCAGAGCCGTTAGCCATCACTTTCTTCCTGAGTGCCTTGCAGGAAACCTGAACTAGACGAATGGCAAATAAAACGTGGAAAACTCTCCTTTCTTAGCCAAACGAAGTGTTTTTACTGAATTATCAGATGCTTTTCAGGTGGCCTTTTTCCTTTTAGTGCACGACAGCGCAACCTTGCTACTGCTGATCGCTTTTCTTTTCAACTTGTTCAAAGCATTCACTGTGAAGCCTCATATTGCTTTATATTTGTGTTTTCTGCGCTATAATTATACTGATAAATTCAGCTAAGATTAAAGCCTTCTGGAGGTAAGTAGAGCAGAAACACTTTCTCTGCTATAAGCTAATTTTCCTACTTGCATAGATTCCCGCCCCGCCTTGCGTAGCACACGTTGCCGAGCTCACTGATGCCACACAAGCTGTGGTCACTTGGCTTATGTCTCAGGCTGCTCCTGCTGCCCCGTTGCCTTCACCCAGGGTCTGATCCACCCACGTCTGCACCTCTGGCCTAAAAACCCACCCTCCATCCAGCAGAGAACTTGCGGCTGGTGCTGCTGCCTCCATGGGACGATTTTTTCGTCTCCTTCTTTCCCATGAGAACAGTATCCAAGCAATATCCCCCTCCCCTCCCTTTTTTTTGAAGTGCTAAATAATGCTACTTGAGAACTTCAGTTTGCCTGGATTTTTTTTTTAAGCAAGTGTGAGAAACGTATTAATATTTAATCCAAACAATTTGGAAGAACTCAAAGCTACAATTAGATAGCTGTGGCCATCTGTTGTGAGCAGCAGAACAAGATTTTTTTTAATAACTTGGAAAGAGAAGAGGGACTGCCAATCACCTATAGATTTATTCCTTAATAAAGCTTGCACAGTCTCTGCAGAGGGAGATCCAGGTGGTGAAGGAGACACTCCAGACCGTGCTGGTGCAACTTCAGCCAGCCAGGGAGGCAGGAGAAGAAAAGGCTGGAGACTTCCTCTGTGACAGCTGGTGTCCAGGAAAACAAGACTTGAAGGAATAACGAGCAGAAAGAGCTGGTAGGATGACATTAATTCACAAAGGGCTGCTTTTAGTAACTGAATACTGGTTTACCTCAGGGATCTCTTCTCTCCCTGCATAACTAATAACTAAATCAATTATGGAGAAACAGAGCCTGGAGGTCTCTCATCAGAAGTGTTCTACACAGCCTCACATGTTTTGGCACAGATTGGGAAACAGCTTTCAGAGCAGAGCAGCCCCTGTAAACGTGTAGATTACAAATTGATACATTTCAAGTGAGTCTGCAAAGTTGCCTTTAATGTCAGTGAAATGTTCTCCTTGAAGACTTGTAAACAGTATCTGTCTTCCTTACTCATGAATTTTTCCCCCCTGATTTAAAAATGTAGCATTGAAGCTGGAACATCTAGTATTTCTTGAAAAATAGCTCTAAGAGTAAGAACTTACCCCTCCCCTCTTTGGCTTTAACAGCTTTCTTACACTGAATGTATTTTCACATTCCTGCCAATAATTAAATCAATAGGCTGAAATTCAAGCTAACCAAATTCTTTCAACTGAAATTTGGACCTTATTTACTCCATGCTATTGAGCAGAGTGGAGGTAACTAACAGCAGCCCCTATAGCAGTAGTTTAACTGTCTTCATTTAGGTATTAATATAAACTTGCTTTAGTATTACGGGGGTTGTGAAGCACAAAAAATTTACTGTGTTGGTGATTTGTGTTCCTTGTATTTAAATATTGTATGAACAATAAGTCATTTAAGTCTCCTTGTAAAGTTTATTACTACTATTGTATTACTTTGATCTTCCCTATAAACTTCAGAAGGAATGCAGATCTTTTTTGCAATAGACATGTATGTATATATACACATACTTGAACATGTATTTTTATAGGAAAGAAAAGCAAAGCAATGTTACACTGAAACCAACTAATATAAATGACCTATATTTAGATCATTGTTCTAAACAGTTAATGCCTTTAGGAATTCATTGTGTACTGTGACTTGGATGGTAATATATCTCTGATGTCACAAAAAAAAAAAAATCTGCTTCTGCCATTTGTTGCAGAGGGAGAATTAAAAAAAAAAAGTTTCTTTGTTTAAGCCAATAGATGAAGGACATGTCTTGCAACTCAGTACTATACTTCTTAATACCATTTTTCTGACATTTTTAGAATGACTTTTTTTCTGCTACTTCAATTACTCTTTTTTTAGCCACATTGTGAAGCTTTTTGCAAATTTTGAAGGTCATTAGACTACTAGCCCACTAAGATTGTGTTCATTTTCTTTGTGTGTTTTAATACTAGTTGAAACTTCTACCTCAATGTCAAGTACATAGAGAGGGAGGAAAAAAACCGTGCCAGACAGCTGAGCCATACAACAGAATTTAATTGCATCTAGGAGTATACCGTTGTTGAACCAGGGAAGCAAAGCTCAGGTGGTTCTGTAATTATCAGCTCCTCAGGGTGGAATTATGACCCTGTAATTCAGAACATGGTTGATTTTTCTCATTGTTTAATATATGGGTCAGCATCTGTGTTGCGGTGAAGACTCTTGCATCTTCACCTTGCATGGACTCTGCTACTTGGTTCACATCCCCAGTCTCAACTGGAGACCTCTTGCTGCTCTGCTGCTGCTAAGTTTGACAATTTTTCTGGACAGTCCCTTTTTGATACCTACCTCTCTGTAGTAGATTTGGCACTTTCTGAAACTCTCCCGGACAGATGAGCAAGGCCTTTGTCTCCAGCTCAAGGCAGACCGACAAGCATGGGCAGCAGCCTGTGACACTGACATTCATTTAGCCCATGCACAGGACCAGCTCTCCTGGGAAACCCTGGCTGGGCACACACAGCCTTGGCTACCAGAGGATGTCAGCCAGAGAGCGCTTGTGGAAACCCACATGGATTCAGGTAGAATCCTAGAATGGTTTGGGTTGGAAGGGGCCTTAAAGATCATCTAGTTCCAAGCCCCCTGCCATGGGCAGGGACACCTTTCCCTAGATCAGGTTTCTCAAAGCTTCATCCAACCTGGCCTTCAACACTTCCAGGGATGGGGCAGCACAACTTCTCTGGGCGACCTGTTCCAGTGCCTCATCACCCTGAGAGTGAAAAATTTCTTCCTTAAATCTAATAAAAATCCACCCTCTTTCAGTTTAAAGCCATGGCCCCTTGTGCTATTACTAAACGCCCTTGTAAAAAGTCCCTCTCCAGCTTTCTTGTAGGCCCCCTTTAGGTAATGGAAGGCTGCTAGAAGGTCTCCCCAGAGCCTTCTCCAGGCTGAACAGCCTCAACTCTCTGAGTCTCTCTTCACAGATGTTCCTTCCCTCTGATCATTTTTGTGGCCCTCCTCTGGACCTGCTCCAACAGGTCCATATCTTTCCTGTGCTGAGGGCCCCAGAGCTGGATGCAGTATTCCAGGTGGGGTCTCACAAGAGCAGAGTAGAGGGGCAGAATCACCTCCCTCCAGCTGCTGGCCACGCTTCTTTTGATGTAGCCCAGGATATGGTTGGCTTTCTGGGCTGCAAGTGTACATTGCTGGCTCATGTTGAGCTTCTCATCCACCAGCACTCCCAAGTCCTTTTCCTCAGGGCTGCTCTCAATCCATTCTCCACCCAGCCTGTACTTACGCTTGGGATTACCCCGACCCACATGCAGGACCTTGCACTTGGCCTTGTTGAACTTCATGAGGTTCTCACAGGCCCACCTCTCCAGCCTGTCAAGGTCCCTCTGGATGGCATCCCTTCCCTCCAGTGTGTCCACCACACCACACAACTTGGTGTCATCTGCAAACTTGCTGAGGGTGCACTTGATCCCACTCGCCATGTTGCTGACAAAGATGTTAAATAACACTGGCCTCAGTACTGACCCCTGAGGAACACCACTTGTCACTGGCCTCCACTTGGACATTTAACTGTTGACCATGACTCTTTGAGTGCGACCATCCAGCCAATTCCTTATCCACCGAGTGGTCCATCCGTCAAAACCATGTCTCTCCAGTTTAGAGACAAGGATGTCGTGTGGGACAGTATCAAATGCTTTGGACAAGTCCGGGTAGACGATGTCAGTTGCTCTTCCCCTATCCATCAATACTGTAACCTCATCATAGAAGGCCACCAAATTTGTCAGGCAGGATTTGCCCTTAGTGAAGCCATGTTGACTGTCACCAATCACCTCCTTATTTTCTGTGTGCCTTAGCATAGTCACCAGGAAGATCTGCTCCATGATCTTGCCGGGCACAGAGATGAGACTGACTGGTCCGTAGTTCCCTTTTTAAAGATGGGGGCTGTATTTCCCATTTTCCAGTCAGTGGGAACTTCACCAGACTGCCATGACTTCTCAAATATGATGGATAGTGGCTTAGCAACTTCATCTGCTGGTTCCCTCAGGACCTGCAGATGCACCTCATCAGGTCCCTCCCATGGACCTTCAGGTTCTTTAGATGGTCTCGGATCTGATCTCCTACAGTGGGCGGTTCTTCATTCTCCCAGTCCCTGCCTTTGCCTTCTGTGACTTGGGCTGTGCAGCTGGAGCTCTTGCCAGTGAAGACTGAGGCAAAGAAGTCATTGAGAACCTTAGCCTTCTTCATATCCCTGGTAGCCAGGTCCCCTGTTTCCTTCCGGAGAAGGCCTACATTTTCCCTAGATCTCTTTTTATCACTGACATATCTATAGAAGTTTTTCTTGTTGCCTTTGATGTCCCTGGCCAGATTTAACTCTATCAGGGCTTTAGCTTTCCTAACCTGATCTCTGGTGGCTCGGACAATTGTTCTGTATTCTTCCCTGGCTACCTGTCCTTGCTTCCACCCTCTGTAGGTCTTCTTTTTGTGTTCGAGTTGGTCCAGGAGCTCCTTGTTCATCCACGCAGGCCTCCTGGTGTTCCTACTTGACTTCCTCTTTGTTGGGATGCACCGCTCCTGAGCTTGGAGGAGGTGATCCTTGGATATTAGCCAGCTTTCTTGGGCCCCTCTTCCCTCCAGGTCTTCATCCCATTGTACGCTCCAGTCATAGGATTCATCCCACCATATCTCCATGATGCCAGTAAGATCATATTCCTGCAGGCGCACACACACTGCTAACTCCTCTTGCTTGTTGCCCACGCTGCGTGCGTAAACAGAAAAGAAAGCACGCTGACGTGACAGAGCTCCCTTACAGCTGTTTCTTTAAGACCAACAGAAGCTGCTCATGGTTTAGCACCACAGAAGGCTCAGATACTGAGTTTCCAGCAATGAGCATTTATACAGGATGGTGAGGACACCCTAGAGATGATGGCCAGTACACTAAGATTTCATGACTCCCCTCTGCCCCACACTGAGGGGTGTGAGGAGTTTTGTCCTTTGAATACATAATGCCCATAGTGTAAACGGTGGGCACTGCAGGTGTTAGAGCCAGGATCAGCCAGAGCTGAAGCATGAAGCCTGCCTCCTTGCAGCAGCAAGGGCTCAACAGCAGGGATGGTAACCAGCTGTCACAGGGGCAGGAGAGCAGCACCTCCTTCTCCCTAGCAAGGTTTCTTAAAGACATTCCTATTCAATTAAACAAACCTGTGTGGCTCTTGTGTTTCACAGCTTCAGAGCACTGCTGCGTTTTAATAAAAACTCAACTTGTGCAACCACTCTAATAAGACACTGAACTCCTGAAGAGAAGGGAAACTGAATCAGTCATCATTCATGGTGTATTTGTATCTGTTAACATTTATTTTATACATGATGTGGACTACTATTACTTTAATTTATTATTCCATTAACTTCCCTGTTTGTTGTGGGAAGTTAAAGCCAGTAATCATTCCTTTTCTCAGATGTGATGAATAATAAGCATACAAAAAAAAAAGTATACTGTGCAATGTATCAGCTGCCTTTTGTCTGTGGATAGAAAACTTTCAAATAAAGAGAAGTATGTTTTTAACTAACCCAATGTCTGTCTGTGTTCTGTGCAACATACAAGATTTTAGCAATTTCATGCTGGGGAGAAGTGGGTGGATGGGGAGGGAGGAGAGGAAAGGAGAAACCATGTGTGTGACTGTTCTTGCGCTGTCAACAGCAGTGATTCCTCTGCTTGGGAAATTCTGTGATCCCTTCTGGAAACAGTCTGAAGATGCACTCAAGACTAGAATCTCCTGGCAAAATGTATCTATTTTCAGTGTGAAAGGGAGAGAAATATTATGCAGGGAGCTATAGACAGGTAAAACCTGCACTCGCGTCTTGTCTTCGCTCAGTCAGCCAGTCTTGCTGTGTGAATGAATCCTGCTGGCCTCCCTCAGTTCCTGACCCAATGGAGGAAAGGTCTTCCCTCACCCATGAAGAGCGATAGCTGAGGTCTAAGTCATGCTCTCACACACCCTCATTGCTACAGTGAAATGATGAGAGGTAGGAGAGTGACTGTGGTGTCCCAAGGGCCAGTTGCTCACATGCTTGCTAGGACTTATCTCCCACCACCTGCAAACGTGAATCCCACGAGAAATAAGCCCTTTTCCTGCCTGTTATCTCTCTGTCTAAGCCCACAAAGGTTTGAGGACTACATAGAGAAGCATACAGGCTGTGTGCAGAAATCTCTGCCTTTGCAACAGAGCTGCAAGACGAGAAAGCAGCTCACCTTGAGCAGTCCGTTGCATGGGCTGTGGAGCAGGAGTAGTTGGTTGTGTTTAACGCACACCCCTTCAGTGTACAAGCATATTCTCAAGGGACCAAAGAAGAAAGCAA